ATTACCAAAATATAGAAAGCAAAGCAGACATCCTTATGCCACTGTAGAAATCCCCCATCTCAAAAAAGACATAGTAGAGCCAGAAGAGGTTCAGACCAGGGCAACACGGATGGTCAAAGATCTGAAATGGCATCACGTTTCCCTCATAAAAGGAAAAATGTTTCACCGATGGTGAATATTATGAACAAGTTATTGGATCTTAGCAACAAGTCATATGAAGTCATAGTAGTATCCTAAGGAAGCAAAATGCTGTCTTTTAAATCCTTTGGGGTGGATTTCTCCTCTTTACAGGGGAGCACTTGAAGAATCAGTAGCACTGGAAGATGTTAGATTTTTTCACATACTGGGTAATCCCAGATCGAGCTCCCACAGACAGCTTCTGACAGATAGCTTCACAGTGCATGGACACACCTGGAACAGGTTTCAGATAAGGAGGGCACCTGAAGGACAAGGAGACACTGATCTTGGGTTGGCTCCAGGACACCCTCATTAATGAGAAAAAACTTATTCTTTGGTTTGAGCTATAGAAGTCATAAAGCTGAGATTTCTCAGCAACAACTGACAATTCAATGCCCAAAGTCTCATGTAATCTTCCTAGTATGTTGTGCTCTAAATTAATATCCTGGTGTCAGCTCACACAGAGAAGGGATTAGGGAACGGGGCCATGCGCATCTGGATATGCACTGCTTATCATCTTTCCACCTGGAATGGACACCTCATGAGGAATTAGGTGACCAGGTCATTTTCTGACCTTTGCTATGTCTAATCTGTGGCTTCATATGCCTAAATACCTTGAAAAAATCCACCCCAAAGTAGCAAGAGAGAGGAAGGTTCTGCCAGCAACACTGCCCATACAGAGCTAATGATGTACCAGGGCTGTAGGATCTCGAGCAGATGTGCACCAAGACACTAGCACACCCCAAAAGCAGGGACAACCACAGAGTCACTGAGGGATGAGTTACTCCCCACCCCTGCCTGTACATGTAAGGAAAACAAGTGGTGTTATGGTGCGCTTCGGTTTGGCAAACAAATGCTGGTGATCTCATACAGAGCTGCAGATCACCATTCTCCAACAAAAAGGTATTCCACGTAATATGGGGTAACTGTTTTGGGCCTCATTATGACTGATGAATTAATTCCTTTGACTTGAAGTTGGTGGTTGCTTAGTGACCATGAATCATGACCTGACTATATTCAGCGTAAGAAAAGGGAAGACGGCCCCAACCAGTCTTACGTACATGTAACGCTTAAGGCTAATTTCTCGGTATTGGACTAAAGTTGTATTATTCCCTCCAGATCTATTTTCATGTGGGAGAGAAAATATGAATGAAAATCAGGAGTTCTTAAAAAAATTCGCAAATAAAGTTATAAAACCATAATTATTAAATAAAGCAACTATGGTTAAATGCCTATTTGGACAAGAGTGGCAAAATGAAGACGTCAATTGGTACTGCAGAATATATTTATTCTGTAATTATGGAAAATAACTGAAATCAGTATGAAGTTACAATACACTCAAAATTGATAAGGGGAGCTAAAAACAATAAAGAAAAACAAGAGGTTTGTAGAACAGAGGAAACTTCAGAAAAAGCTTTGTATGGTTAAATGCCTATTTGGACAAGAGTGGCAAAATGAAGACGTCAATTGGTACTGCAGAATATATTTATTCTGTAATTATGGAAAATAACTGAAATCAGTATGAAGTTACAATACACTCAAAATTGATAAGGGGAGCTAAAAACAATAAAGAAAAACAAGAGGTTTGTAGAACAGAGGAAACTTCAGAAAAAGCTTTGGGTTGTTTTGTAAATCCACAAGTATATTCTAAAAGAAGCAGGAAGAGGCATTTGTGTCATCATGATGACAAAGCAGAGACAGCTACTAATTAGCTGAAACAAATACTTTAAAACTTGCAGGCTAAGAAGACTTACCAAAAAGATGGATCATGAAAATTATTGAGCAGCTGGCACGGGATCCAACTGATAAAAAAAATAATCAATGTGCAACTAACAACACTGCAAATGTTTTAATGAAAAACAGGTAATGTGGTGCACATCTGGTTTTATTGAGTGAATTACACATTTAACTGATAAACATTGATGTGGATTTAAGACTTGAACACCAATGGGACAAGCAAATGGACATGCCAGGAGGTTGGCAGTGGCACTCCAGAGAGGCCCCGAGGTTCAGACACCATCCCGTTTGCATTGTTTCCCATTGACCAGCTCCTAGTGTTCCTGCTCAACACGCAGCCTTTTTCCACTGCCATCTCCAGGGGCTGTGCTGGGAACTAGATATACGGCTCAGGACCACCTTGGAGTGAGCTCTCCCTTTACAGCCCCTGCAAACCAACTCAAGGTTGCTAGAGTAGGTGGCCTAGGTATTTCCCCAAGGCATTACCAGTAAATGCGCTTAACTGAGATTGTCTCCAAATCTGCCTGGAGCAGTCAGAGACAAGGATCTGCAGCCATATCTTAGGAGACCCTCCTGCTGCTTAGGAAGAGAGTTAGGGCTGCCCTCGCCACTCCACAGAAAGCATTCTCATACGGGCAACAGCAGAGGCTGCACTGACCAACAAGCACCAGGATATGCCACAGAGGGTCTGTGGTGGCACTGACAGGTCCTCAGGATCCAACCTCTCAGGTCCAACCAAGAAAATAAAGCGCAGCAGTTGCCATTCATGGCATTCTCTGTCTGCAGATCCGTAAAACATAAGAATAAGGAAAAAACCAGAAATGATGGAACAGCCCAATTCCACAGTCTCCACAAACGTTTTCTACTTGTAAGAACATGTTCTCCCTCCCCAGATTTGCAGCCTTCCACTCTGACCTTCTTTGACCCCAGTGCTCGTGGCTGTGATGAAATAAGCGGCTCTCGGTCTCTGCACCAACTGAAGGGATGGAGACCTGTGCACAGGGAAACACAGGAAACCCTGCACAAGAAGTCCTGCAGCCCAGTGGGCTGTAAACAGCTGTCACTGACTACCCAGCATCCATACTGGGCATCTTACTTCAAACTGTGTTGACCCTGGCTAGACCCATGGGCTGAATGCCTGTCAGCAGATGGAGCACATCAGGTGTTTTTCTGGAACACAGTTTCTGGGTTATTTTCACCTGAAAGAAATTCAGTTCACACCCTCCAGGCTTGCTCTACATTGTAAGACAAAGCACAGCAAGTGGGGACAGCCAGCTCCACTTCAGAAGAGCACTCCGGATCCAGACGGAAACACTGATGAATGGTCTAAGAGCCTGGAAGTACAGATACATGCTAAGGGCTGTCCTGCAGAATGGAGCGAAAGCTACTGCTAACTATCCTTCCTCCCACAGCCTTAACACAGCAGGCCCTCTCTGAATATTTCTGATGGCGGGAGACACCAATTCTTGTCTCACAGCCAGACAAGTGCAGCCTAATATTGGGAACTTGAGAAGAAGATTTCTCCAAGAGCTATCACTTACAATGCTGCCTTATGCTGCCCTTTCCTACCAGATTCTTGGTTTCAGTATTTCTTCAACTGTTCTGATAGAACTATCAGAGAAAAGGCCAGGCCAAGCACTGCCCCTTCCTCATCCCAAGTAATGCCAGTCTGCTCTCCTCCAGTCAGACACTCACACTTCTCAGTTCTTAATGAACTTCAAAAAACAATTTCTCCTTGCTTGAGAAGTTCATCTGCCAGTTCCCTTGACCCCAGGTGGATACCATCTGGACCTGCTGGTTTGCGTGTGATTAGTTTGCAACTGTTACCTGACCTATTTTATATAAACAGCAATATCTAAAACATGAACAATTCATTCTACCTGACATGTTTTCACGCCCTTTTTCCTTACACTTTTTCAATAAAAATAATTGAGCCAGTCAATCATAGATTCAGATTCAATCAGAAGAATTTAGGCTGGAAGTGACCTTTGGAGGTCATCTAGTCCAAAACCTCTCTCACAGCAGACAGTCATTTTCCTCTTGAATTAATGCTGTGGCTTTCTTGCGAGCACCATTCACTGACACAGTTATAAGGAATTTTCAGGCTTTTCCCCATGTCTTTTCTGACTCTTATATCTTCCTACAAATTCTCAGCAACTGTTTATAACTATCAGCAATAGCTAGCTGAGAAAAGAAGTGATAAAGGATGTCTTGGGGCCCAGGTTTCTAGATTCACAGCCACTTCCAAGAACCAAGCCAAATACTTGCTGGCTGTTTCAAACTCCACAAGTTTTTTTTCAGCTGCTGACCTGATGACTCTGTACCTTCTGTGGAGGCACACACGCTGAGAATTAACTTTTCACACTGGTTCCTCCATTGCTCTAGAGAGCTCTGGACCAATAAACTTCTCAGAATAATTCAAGAAAGCTCAGTAAGTGTTGATTTTATATCTGACCTAAAACTCAGTTTTGCATGGCATATAATATATTGCATGATAGTATCTACCCCACAGAAGGACAGAAGAGATGCCACAAGGAAAAAGGCTGACCAGAAAATCCAAAAATATTCCTCCATAAAGAAGCAAGTACAACCAGAATGGCTGCTACTTCACTTCTTTTACTTATAGGAGCTTCAGTGTCGGGCAGCTCCATAACCATTATCACTACTAAGACAGAGGTTGTCTCCTCCTTGCACCAAGCCCAGTTAATAGCCTTAGCCCGAGAGTATCTCTAGCATGAAATGGCCTCAAGGATGCAAAGAGAGAGAAAAAGGTAAGGGATTTTACAGAAGAGCTTTTCAGAGCTACTCCAGACTAATGGTTTGGCTAATTCTTTAGCTTGGCAATCTCAGCAGTCATAAGCAAACACTGGACTGAATAAACAAACTGCATACTGATGGCCCCAGGAGGAAAGCAGATCTGTCCTGCCACTCCCAAGACCCAAAACTGGCTGCAAGCTGCAGCTTCCACCAACCACTGCAGGCAGCACCAGGAAACTACCCGTTAACACAGACACGCTAACATAGCCCTGGACTCTACAGCAAGATTAAAAAGGGAGAAAAGGGGGTAGCAGAAAGATCAAACTCACCAACATCGGACTCTTTGTGGGTTTTGATGATTTCAGCCAATTCAAAATTTCCTGCAATGATGGCCACCTGAAAAGAGAGGAAGGAAAGACAGTTGAGCGGCTCTGAACAGCACCGATCCTGTGCTTGCTTGCACGGATTACGCCATATGGACTAGTAACAGCTGCTTTCCATGGGGGGGACAGAGCCAACAATTGTTCTGCCTCAGCTCACCCAGTCAGTAACCCCAAGGTGAAAATACACTCTCAGTACCACAGGGAGAGCGTATGTTGATGGCTTGTGCAGCAAGAGGGTGGCGAATAGCACGGAGATAACCGTTCCCCTCTCCTCAGAGTCTGGTGGTGAGATGCCTAACACCAGCTAGGAATTAATCTTAGGTCTTGCAGGTACTTACAAGGTGTTCTCCAGCCTGAAGCTTTTCAGTGAATCCTAGTTAGCTGACGAAAGGCAACTTACCAGCAAGCGAGCTCCCTGCACATCTCACCTGAACGGTCCACAGGACTAACTCATGCTCGCTCCAGGCTGCGCTAGCCGAGGAACCGCTTACACTCAGAAAGCTGCAGCAGCAGCTTGCCCCAGTAAAGCCACGGCATTTTAGACCAACATTAAATATTGCTTTGTCCACCACCCATCCCATGGTTTCTCTCCACAGGAAGAATCACAGAGAACTCAAAGGAACAAGGAAAGCGGGGAAGCTGAACATGCATCTGCCGGCAAAACACACAGACAAAACTGTCTGTCTTACTTCAGGAACTGCTTCTACAGGTGCTCACGTCCTGGGGAACTGCAGAACAGCAGCAGTCTACACAAAGGTAGGTTAACACACGTAAGAAGAGAGAGACTGAAGTACTACTCTCCTGAAGCAAGACTTCAGCCAATAGACTAGCGACATCACTTGAACTCTTTGTTGATTTCTTACATATTTGGGGAAAAAAAAAAACAAAACAGCACCGCATCACAGCTAGTAAGGCAGAACAATCCAATATTTTCAGAACAAGGTCCAAAAGTATTCTTTTAACACGTGAAAGAACCACAGTGAGACGGGTAGGAGTACATGAAATCCATCACTGGTCCTCAGGAGAATAAACTAGAAGAACTGCTCTGGACTGAACTGCTTGAGCCCTGCGTTCAATGCCCCTGTGAACCTCAGCCACCTCTGCCCTTTCCACCCCTCCCAGCACACCCAGTCCCCCCATTCACTGCTGAGACTCTTAGGATGGTGCCTTCACTCAGCAGCACCTACCTACAGCTGATTTGGGAACAAGAAGCAGCCAGATCAAGTTGATTCTGGGTGAAAACAAAGTGCTGCTGCTCAGAGCATGAAAACGCTTGTAAGAACAGGCTGAGATACAGCTGCTGGTTTTGCCTGTCCATGCTGGGACCATTCCCCCCCCCTTTTTTTTTCTTTTTAAGTTAGGGCTGGTATTTGAGATGAACATATTTGATCAGGCAGGCAGTAGAAACCAAACCCTCCCAGACACTGACAAAGTCAAGAGCAATAGTGGCAGCTCCAGCTGTTAAACATTTCCCTGCCCTCCTACAAGAACAGCTTTTAGAAATAGGAGGTTCATTTGCATTTTGCCACTAACTTGTGATGAAGGGATATATTTAACTTGGTGACTCAGTACAGCATGCACACCTCTCTACTATGATCCTTTATCATAGAAAATAGTCTTACTATCCTCAGCTCAACAATGTTTATGTGAATTTTTTTTCATTTTCTGAGGCCCAGAATTCGTGCTCTACCTCCTCAGCCAGAGCTGGGAGCGATCAGTGATGGCTGGAAGAAACGAAACCTTCCTTCTGCATTCAGGAAATCAGGTCACCATAGCAGAGAAAATTGAGTAAGAATCTCTGTTTTTCTGCAAGCTTGCTTCAAATTGCTATCTTTCTCTGTCTCTCCTTATATATACATATACATTTATAAGGTCTGCTCTCCCAAAGGTCACAGACTTTGAGCCAGCAAAGAAAGCTTTTGTACAGCAGGGCAAATGACCTGAATGTGGGGAAATTTGAAACCAAAAATAACCAAACTGACAAAAGACTGGAAAGGAGAATTTAGAAAAAGCATTTGAACTTCAAAGTTCCTCAAACAAACAACGCCAAATTCAAAGTACAAATTATGAGTCTCATTAGATGTATGTCTCCGGAATAATTCCTAAAATGTATGGTGAATATATGTGCTGCACCAGGAGCAGCTTCTGCCATTGCACATACCACAGGTGTCCCTCCTGGTCTGGCTGCAGGAGGCGGAGGTCTCCCACCACTGCGCCCACCACCCCACAGGAGGTCTCAGTGCCAGGACAGCTGACGTTGCAGGCAACAGAAGCTCCCTCTCTCCCTACCTTGGAAGTGTTATGACTTCCAGGAAAGGCGAGAAGAAACACGCTGGATGAGAAGTCTGTTAAGAATATAATCTCACATAAATCCCTAGGAAGGGAGAAGAGCCCTGCTGGTTACATTTTTCAATCCTACTTGGAAAAAGCAAAGGAGATGAAAGGATTTCACGTATTGCATTGTCACCTCAGCTGGTGCTTCCCAGCACACTGGCTTCCCCAGCTATGAAGCCACCAACGGCGTTCCCATGCCCACCTGCTCACTCCTGCTCCAGCACCACTTTGCTGCGTGCAATCATGCTGATGAAACTGTTTAAGAGACTGCACGATACACCATATCAGAGAACTCTTCTAAGTTAGAAACAATAGCTTTTTGGGGACAGGTAAACAAGAAAAGGAAGTCTCAAGGATGGAAACTCCAGAAAACAGATGATTTTTTTTTTTTTTTTTTTTTTATATCACAGCTAGTAATTTTAGTGCCTGTACACCAAAGTGGGAGGAATTGGTGACTATCAGAAAAAATAGTCTGACTTCCTCACAGAAGATAAATGACCTAATTTCAAGGAATAAGCCAGATGTCCCACATAGGAATGCCATCTTAACATCAAAACCAAGCTACTTATCCTGGTGATGTCGCAGAGATAGTAGACATTGTGCAAAGAGCATTTATCATCGTGTCTTGCCCTGATGCTACGAATGTAGACTCTGTCCTTCCGCATGCCACAGGTTGAACAATGAAAATCTGCGTTCAGGCTGCAAAAGACATACAACCATATTATGGCTCTGGCACAGGGTTATTTTCTGAAATGCTGTAACATCTTGAGTCATTCCATAGCATGATATCAAAGTGACAATGCTTTTTAATCTAACAGCAATTTGCCTCTTTTTATATTTTTAGGCAAACTCAGTAATTTCTAAAAGAAAGAAGAAGGAGGGACATCTGAACAGGCTGTGCAGCATGCAACATCAGTGTGCTCATAAGGTCTTAAAAGTTAACAGCAGAAAACAGAAAGATCATTTAAATATTCCTGGTAAGAGTCATAGCTCTGAGATCTAACCCAGGTTCTGTGGATAATAGTAGTGTACAAACATCCCTAAATAAATTAAAAAAAAAAAAAAGAAAATAAGAGAAAAAGCCCACTACACTGCATGAATCCATGAGAAGATCCCCCAACCCCTCCTACCCTCTTGGCGACACAGGCTGGCACAGAGCTCAGGTAACAACCGATGAGGATTCACCATGAATGCAGCAACAGCATGCCAAGGCACAATAGTATGGAGGGGCCATCTGCAAACTGCTGCTGCACATCACATCAGTGGAAGCAGTATCATGTCAGCTATCCACTAACCCAGCCCTCAAACCACACGAGGGGTGTCCAGTCTTTACAGAAGAGAAACCAAAGGAACTCATCTCCACATTGTCAAGGCCATTGGCACAGCTGGCTGGGGCTGCTGCTTCCTCGCTCCACCTAGCACGGGTTTCCCACAGAGGTGTGCAATCACTGGTTTGCCACCAAACATAAATTGAAGATGCACAGAGACCGATTAAACAACTGTAAACCATGGCACTTAACTGCGTTTTCCTCCTGGGCCTGCTTTTATAATAATATTTAATTTCTCTTCTTCTGAATTGTCACTGTATATTCATATTAAAGGATCTGTTATCTCCTTGCACTGAGTTGTGATGTACGATGGAGAGCGAAGATGAATCTCAGATGGATGTATTTTGCTATGGGAAGACATCGTGTTTTTCATCTCCAAAAGGTATCTCAAAGCAGTAGGGTGCTTGGACAAGGAAGAGGATAAGCTTACGTTACATGAAAAACTGATCCACTGAGAGCAGGAGCACAGAGGAGGCACCTCCGGGCTCCTGGCAGGTGGGAAAGGAGCCCTGCAGACCAAACCCCGCGGCCCCTCTGCACCTGCTATCACCAGCCCATGTTCTCCACATGCTGCAGACGTGGATCTACAGAGGCCCAGGGCAGGGAAACCACCTCCAGGAGAGACTGCGGCTTCCCCCCAGCCCTGGGTGGGCAAGCCCTCTCTGGCAGGGGCAACAAACCCTGAAGTTGCCTGCGCTCAACAGGTGCCGCGTGAGTCCCGGACAGCATGCCTGCTCAGACCGTCCGACAGGACAGGACGGGAGCTCCAGCTCTCGGTCCTGCAGTTTTTCTGAAGAAGGAAGAACCACAGCACAGAGGGATATGAAATCTATTTTGACAATCCTGCTGCCATGGCCAGGATCTCAGTGGTCCTGTGAAGGGCTCAGGTGGGAGTATCTCCAGGGACAAGAGTGCCGGCCAACCTGCAACACGGTATTTTACATCGGAAATGTGAATAATAGCTATCGTGAAGATTAAAAAATTGGAGCCACTTCCGTGGTGCAATGACAGTACGACAGTGGGTAGAATAACCTTGAACTTGTGCTCACGAGTATGGACACTGCTAGGTCCAAGGTGGATTTCCACCATTATCTGCTCTTCGGTCCCTAAAAATATCCACGGTAAAGCACCATTCCCCTGTGATGAGGAACGGACGGATCCTATGGCATGCAAAGCTCACAGACAGTCTGCCACTACTGGAGATACCACCTTGTAAAGGTCTCTAAGAGAAGGAAATTGGGGAATTGGGAGACAGAAGAGTAGCAAAACGTATCAACAAGCCGTGAGTCACAGACTCCTAGCCATATGCATCTGAGTTGAGGGAAGCATCCAGTTGACACAAAAGCTGATA